AGATTTAAATCCTTTGAAGTTCTATTCACAGGATGTGTTATGGTCGATCGATTTACATTTAGTTATCTGTTACTGAAGTCCTTAGGATTTAAATAAAATAAAAGGCTTATAGGAGACCATTTTGCGCTAATTCCCAAGTGATTACAATCCTAAAGACAGGTCTGTAAGCATTTATACTTAATATCATTTTATCCCTTCAAGAATGAATATTGTTTATTTCTTCTATGTACTTTAAAATAATACTAGCTGTTCCCATACGGCTTCATCCGCATATAATTATAAAATTTTATTTTATAGTTTACAATTGTCAAATTCTCAATTACAAATGTCAAAATTACTGTTACCATAATAACTTTGCTTCCTTAATGTTGGCAGCTTGTAGTTTATGGTCCCTCTCCCACATGAAGATTTTTTCCAATTCATTTACCCCCTAAGTTTAATAGTACAAAAATATGTAGCTTAAAGTGTGTCGTAAGGGTAAGGCTTTTTAGTAAAGAATTATTCCAAAATATGCTGTGATTGCTGACATCCTACACGGAGTAGTGTGTGTTTACGCTTTATTATATTAGTATAGATAGTATAGATTTAAACTTGAATGTAATATGCTTATACGCAATAGAGAGTTTCACGCATAGTTGGGAAATCGGTTAGGCTTTTTAGCGGTGCAGTGAAAATTTAGCGCGTTTTAACTGCACTGAGGTCATCGACATCTCTATTTGTACGCGAAATACCAGAACAGTGCAACTAATTGTTTAGGAACGCTTACACAGAGATTTTATTTTACATTTTTCATCCTCATAGAAAGCACAATTTAAATGTTTTTTGTATTTCGTTTAAAACGCACATAAAATCGCTTAGTCATATGCAAAAAAATGAAGTTGCATGCCTTCTTAATAGTAGCAATTGACAGGTTACTTGACGCGTTGCTTTACTGCACTTTTTACTTCATGTAGATTATTTTAAGCTTTGTGTATAAAAATAAGTAAAACTTGAATATCTTACTTATGGCACACTAATAATGAATTCTACTGACTTCTAATGACTGGCGTAAAACTTGAAAAAAGTTTTATTAGATTTTCTGTGGTCGAATTATTCTGTCGTTATAACTTTAGTTAGTTATGATTTCCTTAATTTGTGGTTAACTCATGTCCTTCACGAATGGCTTTGAAATTACTAAGAACTTGTATAAGCCGATTACTAGTTAATCAAACGCGAATAGATATTAAATATATAATTAATATCCAGAGCAAAATTCAAAATCATTCTGAAGTTTATTTTATTTCGGTCTTAAACACTAATTCATTCAATTTATTATTTCTTTTTTATTTATATTCAATTATTTATTTATCCAATAAATGTAAATTAATACATGTAATGCATAAATTAACACGATTCTTATATAATTTATATCATATGCCTGCATTGAAGTTTACTTCCATATTGGTCTAAAAGTTGCTTGACATGTTGTAAAACATGTTTTTATTCGCATTCACTTAGTGGAACCGTCCCATTACATGGCAAGTTCATTAAACGACCACCACTATTTACAAGAACCAGTGTCAATCAAACCAGTCGTAATCTCGCTTTATCAATACAATACACTTGTAGACAAAATAATGGTACGCAAAATAAGATTGAAATTTGTTACGTGTAATGATTCGTTTCATACTTAAACCCACTTGCGTCCTCCATAAAGATCTTCCGTCATCTCAGTCGTCTCCCTCCTTGATTATGTCATCTTTCACGGAGTCCATCCATCTCTTCCTATACCTACCACTACCAGTGTCTTCACACCACACACATAACTAAAGTTCCCTAAAGGAAATAGGCTTATTATTTAGTAATTTTGAATGTCTAACATAACTAATAAATAACAAAATTGACAATAAAAAAAATCTAAATATACAGACGAATTGAATACCTCTTTCTTTTAGGAAGTCGGTCGAAAAATAAATATTTCATTGTAATAAAACTTTTTAAAGTACACAAAAAAAATACTCAAAAACTGTTGTTCACAATGAAAAAAAAATAGTTGTTACTAGAACGCGTCTTATTAAATTAGTTTACTTATTCAATAAGTATAAACACGACATATATTGTTTTTCTAGCCGCTTACCTTTGACTTTAAGTGTACATGAATTCAGTGTCAATTTAATCGTCATAAAAACACTGGGTTTGATGACATTGAAATATAAATAAAAGCAATGATGCCACGATTGATGTGATAACGCTTTTTATTCATTGTTTTTTGTACGGTAATGCACTTGATTTTTGACAGCTTAAAAATGAATGATCTATGCGCCTGAAGGTTCAATTGCGCTTACTAATGCCTCCTAATCTATTACGCCCACTTTAAATATGAGATGAACTGATAGAAAACATTTTAAACTTTAAATAAATGAATAACGCACGAAAATTTAGTTGACTAATTTTGTTTCACATTCAAACGATTAATCCTTAATCAATGTTGTTAATACTTTTGTATTAGGGAATTGTTTATATTTAAATAATGATTTAATACTTAATTTTGTTTTAATGTTAAATAAGATTCATTACATTTGTAAAGTTTAATTTGAATCACAGTGTACATATGTACCAGACATTTACCTTATGGTTACGTGTTACAGTGAAACTGGAAAATGTGAATAGAGAGAATAACTTCAATTTACAGATTACGTGAAACGAAACATGCATAAATAATAAATACAATTCTATAGTTTTGTGAACGTGTGTGGCCGAGACTTTCTCCGTGCGGACAAATTGCTGGCAATGCACCGTAATGCGTTGTCGCCTTCGATCGCAAACGGTTTGTTACTGTTGGCGAAAAGATTTATGACGTTAAACTAATAGATAAAGTATTACTATACACTTAAATATTCCGCTGATAACGTTTTGTTAGTGTTTAAGGGATATAAATTTTATAGGTCCATACACAAAAGAGTTTTGTTTGTTGCATTTCTTTAATAAAATAAAGATTAAAAAAACTTATTATTTTGAATTTTTGAAGAGATAGAAGATTAAACTATATGGTTTCTAAAAATATAGTTACTCTATTAATTTTTAAGATAGAGGGGTTCAGAATTTAAACATTTATAATGGATTTATACGTATGTTTTTAATAATTAGATTGTATCATATTGTAGTCAAAATATTGCTTAAAAAACGGTATTAAATATCTCATATAACTTCACCAAGCCGAAAATAACTCGACCTAAATATTTACAGAAGACTGTACAGAATAAATACAAAGCTTAAATTTGCACAGATAAAAAACAAAGATATTTCTGACTCGGACAATTTTCTTTCATAATCTACGATAAATATTTTAATAATGGTTACAAAAAAATGACATATGAATCTGTGATCATTAATGCAATGCGAGAGAATTCGCAAAAAGTATAATTGAGGTCGGAAATACAGCTCACTTCGCTTGGCGTTTCAAGAGGACATTAACTTTTCGTTTATCTTTTTTTATTCATACTTTTTGTCATCAGCCAGTAATGTTTGCGTATAGATAAATGTGTCCGTCAGGAATGGTAAGTCAATCAATTATGCATAAATTGATTACAGGAGCTTGTTTAATTATTTGCAAATGAAAAACCTACTTTGAATGGCAATTCGAATATGCTTTACAAAGTAACATACACAAAGTTTCTTTTAGTCTAGTTAATATCAATAAATTGTACCTTTTATTAATAAAAAACATTAGGTGTTGAGTTAAAACTATTTAAAGCCGATAGTCATTAAGTTTTTTCGACGCCAGTAAAGATACTGTATAAAGTTACAATTACCTTCTTAACTGTCTAATGCAAGCCACATTAAATTTAAATAATATGAAAATTACACGCTACGAAAATTACAAATAACGGTCAACACGACTATCATGACCAAATTAAGAACAGTAAAGATTGTAGTTGTTTTTTTGTAAATGATATGTTTTTGAGCTACGAGAGAATTTAAAAAATATTTTTTTTAAAATAACGATTAAGTTAGGAGCAGATTTTTTAAATAAAATAAGCGAAAATGTGAATTCAAAAACAGAATAGTTTTTGAGGTTTTTTTTTTTAAATTCAAGAAGTAATTATTATTTAATATTGTCTTAAAACTGAGCTAAATTATTTTTACCTAACCTATATTATCTAAAGTTTTTTATCAACTAAAAAATAATAGAAATATTAATATCCGGATTAAATTTAATTCATTTTAATCGTGTATAGCCAGCTTTAAGATGTGGTAACTCGTATAACGTTACTTAATATAAACAGGTAATAAACGAGCTTTGATTTTATTGCTTTTTAAATCGGATCATAATGAATAAGGCCCCAATCATTTCGATTCAATGGATCTTGATCTTTAATTTGTTATTATTATAATGTGTTATAATCAAAAGTATGAGATAATAATAGTGCATTATTTTTCACTAGTTATATACGTTTAGATGAATGTTAACACTTCAGTATAAAGGTGCAATGACCCGACTTTTACACGATCTGCTCTATGTGGCAATACAAGTCACTTTAGTTAAAATTCCCAGTAATCAAACAAATATAACACCTAAAACATCAAGGTTAAATATTACCGTAATAACAAAACAATTTTAATTATAATTACATAAATAATTGTTACCTAGGAGTATGGCGCTTTGATAATTAATTCGAGCATCTTCTCGTATTTTATAACATTGCTACCTCAATAATTTTTTAATCGTTATAATTAAGAACGCTTCGCTTGTTATGAAGTATATGGACGCTTATACTAGAGTGACCGGTTTATTAGCATCGGAAGTCTGTGAAATGATCACCATTTTTATTGATACTCAATCGTTTTTATAAATCAATAAGCACAAATCGGACATCATAAGTTTTTTTATTTTTTTTTTTATGAAAAAGAGTTCAATACCCTCAATGGGCATTACATTTAATATCATAGAATTATGTATTTCTTAATTTCGGTTGTTAAACAGATCGTAATATTAATATAAAATCGTTTACTCTTTTCAGAATCAGCAAGATGGTGAAGTCCACTTTTTTCTTTGGCCTATTAATACTGGCGGTGGTATGCCCCGGACAAACCGCGCCCAGAAGAAGGTCCCGTGCTGCTGCACTGCCAACAGAAGACACACCTGAAGCACCCATCCGTCAAAGCAAGTTAGAAGAGAAATACAAAGAAGATATAACTACCAGCGCTCCAGAACCAACGCATAGAAGGAATAAAGCACTTAACCTATTCGGCTATTTTCCACCTTATATGTCTTCTGGCTTAGATTACGCGGACGATGATGATGATGACGTCACTTTCGCAGTCAATGACGATAATTTCAGCGGCGAAGATCTTTCCAGAACTATCCCATCTACTCGGAGACAGCAAAACAAAAAGAAGAATGGCAATGGAAACCTCTACCAGAACGATAACTTGAACTCTCTTCAGTACGATAATTCGCCTATTTTCTATATTAGATTGCCCCCTACCCCTTACATGTTTGTTCCCGGTTTGGG